TTGTCAGCTCCTCTTTTTCCCCCTCCCTGTACAACTCTTCTTGATATGACTGAAATATCTAATTGTGTGATATGTGGATTAAGTGCCAATAAAACTTTAAAAAAAATGAATGAAAAGTAAAATCTCCAGGTAACAGAAAAGTGGATCTTCGAAGGAATGCTACTCCTACAGTGGAAAGAGAAGAAACACGGAGAACAAGGTGCAGTCCTAATAAAGCAATTCTGCCCTTAGTTAAAAGAGCCTGGTGGCACAGTGATTAAGCAATAGCAGCTAGCCAAAAGATGGGCAGTTTGAACCCATCAGTCGCTCCTCAGGAACAAAGATGTGCAGTCAGTCACTCTGCTTCCACACCAAGGACAGCCTCAGAACCCCCGCCCCCCCCCTCCGGGCATGTGTTTGGCCTGGAGGAGCGGTCAGGCAGCAACCACTGCACCGCAGTAGGCGGGTGCTTAGGAAACAACCCCAACACGACTTCTGAGAGGCAGCCGGAGAGTTCGTTATCATCAACCCCTCCGTGTTGGCGGAGAGTGTGCGCCGTGAAAAACTGCACGGAGCAACCACTGAGCTGACCACAGAGGCCGTGTTCATGGTGGGATCGTGCTCTCGCTGAGAGTCTGGAAAGCAGGGCACCGGCCTGCCTTTGGAGGGGTCCTGGGGCGTTTAAACCACTCTGTTTGGGGTTTGGAGAGGTGGGCGCCCCCCAGGACTCCTGAACCTGTAGTTTCACTAACACCGAACGAGCTACCTGAGCTGAGCATACCTAACACGGAATCTGCAGCTGTGCCTGCCACCGGCTCACCGAGCCACGCCTTACACTTAGTAAGGCAAAAAACGTTCAGGCCATCACCCAAAGGGGAGTCACCCATGGCAGCACTTGAATCCACCTCTCTCCTGTCTCCAGCCCAGCACACTTCAGGGCCTTCCCTCTCTTACCAAACTCACTGCCATCGAGTGGATGCCAACTCAGAGACCCTATGGGACAGAGTAGAACTGCCCCTGTGGGTCTCAGACACTCAACTGTTTATGGTAGTAAAAATTAGCTGGTGGTTTTGAACTGCTGACCTTGCAGTTAGCAGCCCAATGAATAAACCACAACTCTGCCCAGCCCTGCACACTTGTCCAACTCCTCCTCTGTTGCCATCAAAAGGGTTTTCCTAAAATGTACCTTTGCCTTCTCCTACCCCATGACAAACACAGGCAGCCTGTGGGATACAGCTCCGCTTGTTTTTCAGTAGGGCATTCGAGCTCAAGTTCTCCCCCACAGCCAGTCGCCCGTGGGCTCCCAGGCCTGGCATGCTTCCCCACCCTTGAATACCTTCACACCAGCCATCAAGTACACTCCAACACCTCCCCACTGCTGGGTCCAGTGGCATCTCTGAAATAATCCACAACGTGACAATGCTCAAAAATGAGCGGTGGAGTGAGTTAATTTACCATCTACAAAGCAGATGCCTATTCGCAGCTTCCATCAATGCTTGCCTGCGAGAGAGCCTGCTATAAACTAAACGGTTCCTTGGACAGCCTTTACTTAGGGAAGCGTTTTCATGCCATCCGCTTTTAGCGAGTTTTCAAGTGACTACGTGACACATGTGGGGTGAGAATGGAGTTCAAGATGAACAGTGCACACAGCACTGCGTCCTGCAGACACTGCTGCAGCGTGCCTGCATGCCTGACTTCACAGAGCAAGCACACCAGGCCTTTCCTCCCACAGCGCCACTTGGTGAGGTCCAACCACCAGTGTTTCAGTCAGCAGCCAGTATTGTAGTTACTGCCGCAGACTACAGACTGAAAACCCTTTCAATCAAACCTCTATTGTGTGTTATTCTCAGCAGGAAGGCACCACTTTTAAAAAAATCCTTTATTTTCAAGTGTACTTCACTTTAAAGTCAAAGATTCAAAATCAGACGGATGGCATAGCACACTCCCAACCCAAACCCACTGCCCTCATGCCGACACTGACTCAGAGAGCCCCTGGGCCAGAGCTGGATTGTCGCTGTGGGTTTCTGAGATCCTGAAATCTTTACAGGCGGAGAAGGCCTCATTTTCCTCCCAATGAGCAGCTGGCTGGTTTGAATGGATGACTTTGCAATTAACAATCAAACAGGAAATCCCCTATGCCAGCAGGCTGACATATCCACCGAGCTGCTCCAGATCCAGAGGCAGCCGCCACTAATGCGATCGAAGCCGTGCCATCATCTAAACGACCGAAGCAGAATTGGCTAAACACAGAGATGACGTGGTGGCAAAGTGAGGGATTTCACTAGTATAACTAGTATAACTAATCACTGTAGACTGCTCTTTCAGCCAGTCTTTAATTCCCACCAAATGAATGTGTGAAACGCTAGTAAGGACGGGTTAGTCGGTTTTACCATTCTGCTGGGTCCAAGGACTAGGGGCCGGGGGGCACTACCATCAGGAAAGAAGGCACAAACAAAGCACAGCTTCTGGACCTTGGCATCCCTGTGCTGAGCAGTGGCAGCAGAAGCAGCAAGAGAACCAAAGTATGAGACAGAGCAATGGGTTTCCAGGCCAACAGAATGAATAACACTGAGTAACTGCTGGCTTGCAGAGTGGGGTGCCCCATGGGCACGTCTAAGCCTTAAAAGATAACACTTGCCCAAGCAGGGCAGGGGCCAAGGGGCAAAGAGCCTATGAGATTAAGTGAGGACCGCAGGGAGAAATGCCCGTGGGAACAGCTGGAGAGAAGTACTGAAGACAAAAGAACTGTATCCTTAATGTTTCTGATCCAGAATTATAACCAGGTTAATCTCCCTAATAAACCCCATAATCACGAGTACTGTCTGAGTTCTGTGTGGCTACTGCAACAGGCTCTCAAACCCATGAGAACAGAGTGCTGTGGGCAGGATGGCTGGTGTCAGAAGGGGAAAGAAGGCTGGAGGGTGGAGGCCTGGCTGATCTCCACTTCACAGCCATGGCTCTCCTCCTCCCCTCTTGTGCAGGCAGAGGAGCCAGACCCCACCTCCACACCATTCTTGCAATCACCATGTCAGTTATTTGCTGCCCTTAACAATATACGAGGGGATACCAAAAAAAAGGAATTTTTTTTCCAAAGCTACATATTTAATTTTTTTTACAGAATTTAATCACCTTCAAAGCACTCTCCACTTAATGTATTTGTCAAATCTGTGCTTCCATTCTTGAAAACATTTTTCAAACTCAACTGTATGGCTAGCTGACTTTTCTTCACCACTTTTCCATCATCAAATCGCTGTCCTTTTGCGTCCTTCATTTGAGGAAATAAAAAGAAGGCAAGTGCGTGGGGCAAAGGGGGCATGCTGGGTTTTGCCATAACAGGTGCACTGGGATGGCTGTGTGAGCAGGTGCATTGTCATGGTGGTAAAACCAGTCCCACCTGCCATAAGCAGGCCTTTTTAATGGCACATTGTTACGCAATCTTTTCAGAACCTCTAAACCAGCAGCTCTCAACCTGTGGGTCACAACCCCTTTGGAGGGTCGAACAACCCTTTCACAGGGATCGCCCGATTCATAACAGTAGCAAAATTACAGTTATGAAGTAGCAACGAAAATAATTTTATTTTATAATTTTATGGGTGGGGGGGTCACCACAACATGAGGAACTGTATTAAAGGGTCACAGCATTTGGAAGGTTGACAATCACTGCTCTAAACAGAAAACTTGATTGAGTCTGACATGGTGGAATGAGCTTGGGAAGTTGATGAACATCCAAAACGAGGTTTGTCATCAACATTTCACCTTTTTTGAAACGAGAAACTACTCGTACACTTGAGTTCTTCCCATCGTGCAGTCCTTGTAAGCTGTGTTCAACATCACAACTGTTTCTGCAGCATTTTTCCCAAGCAAGAAACAAAATTTCACAGCCACATGCTGTTCTCTTAAATTGGCCATCACAAAAAAAACGAGGGTTGAGCAAAACTGCTTTTACCAAAAAATACACTGTGACTTCAGAGGACCTTCCTTGGTGACGCCACTGGGTGCACTAACTCAGAGCAAGTTGCTTGATGCTCACTTAGCAGGAAAAATGTGTGCTACTGAAGCTCCTTACCAACCAATGCAATTCCGGTTTTAGGGGGGTGCCCCCTCATAGGCCTTGGAGTATTTTCTCACAGAGGTACTGACATAGGGATCAAATTACAATAATCTTGGCAGTCAAAATAAATCCTGTCAATTAATCAACTTCCATCAACTACTGTATGTCTGAAGGGTATGGCGGTACTCCAGCCATAACTGAAAAAACACACTTACGGTACTTACCACATTAAAGTGGAGATGGTACTTACCACATTAAAGTGGAGATGGTACTTACCACATTAAAGTGGAGATGGTACTTACCACATTAAAGTGGAGATGAGAAGACCGACGCCCACACAGTCTATGAATACAACCCACAGGAGAAGCTTTATCGTCTCAAAAAATCCCATGTCCAGCACAAAACCAAATCCTATGGTGGACACTGAAAGAAGATTTACAAGGGTTATCCAGACATGATATGCTAGATTCTGGGGGAATGGGGCATGGCCCCTGCCCTCCAGATGTTGGCAGTCCAGTGGAGATGGACATGTTAAGCAAAGCCCCCAGGGTGTGTCACATAGAATTCTTACAGAGGCATCTCATCTTCTGACAAAGAATGGCCGTGGAACTATTTTAAGCTTATTGAGGAGGGCACTTTTGGGGCTTATTCTCCCCAGCATTTAAAACAGCCCCGGTGCAGCGAGGGCACATGCATGTTCTGCCTCCAGTTAAAGGATGGACAGCCACACATACTTCAACACCCTCACACTGGTTAGAACTGTTGTACCACACTGTTGAACTTCAAAATTGTTTCTCGTATGCACGGCAATCTTTTAGAACTCTCACGCTGGGTTCGCCTGCTGGTGAAATGCCATGTCTAACCTCAATACTCATCTTACCAGTAAAATGAAATTGGGTCGCTAAATAAAAGTGAATCTGCCCCCTGCTTTAAAAGGCCTGATGCAGTCATTACCTCCAGCATCATCTGCTTGAGACCTGCAAAATCAGGAAGCACGCAACTTTCCTTCCTGTGAGGAAGCCCCAAACAGCCCCCCAATGCCTCACCCATAATACATTAGTAACAAGACCTCTTCCAGCGGGCACATCTAATCTGCAACACTCGCTTTGTTCAACTCGATTGCCGATAGAGGGGCACTTACCACACAGCCAGATACTCAGAAGGACCAGGAAAGCAGGGTCGTCTCGGGCCCACTGGTCCTTTGTCTGCTTGCGATAATGGAAGTTTCTATAAACCCTCTGTGGGGAAGTGAACAGGTAGAGCATCTGCCAGGCAGCAAACTCAAAGTCCATCTGCCGAAAACGGAAGAGCCTTCGCAAGTACTTGTAGCGTTTTGCACCAGCTGTGTGTCTTGCAGCATCCCTAGAACTCAAGGAGCCATTCCCTTGCACCGGGGAAGTCACCGAAATACTGGGTAACATCTTCCTAAACAGGAGAGGGGGGAAAAAGTCTCTTTCACCAATAATCTGAAGAAATTGCTAGCTACAAGCACACCTCTTCCTGATTTTTAACAGCAGGGAGGCCACATTAAATGCCACTCCCAATCCTGGAGGAAGGTCACGTGTGGGAAGTGAATGGTCCTGATTTTGAGAAGTTTGGCGGCTTGAGAACTGTGTATGGCAATGGCAACACCATGGTCTTCTGAGCCCTATTGTATTGCTAACGCTTGATGCAAGGTCCGAGCATTTAATGCGCCTCACTCTGTCCTCAAATAACCACCGAAGTAGCTACTCTTTAATAGCAAGTAAAGGAAACACCAGCACTGGACGGAAAAGGGCTTTCCGTGATCAAAGATAGAGGGACAGAGCTCCGGTTCCGGTTCGGGCAGTCTGGCTCAAAAGTAAAATGCTCGGCACCACCAAGCCTTGAAGGGCAAGCCTTTGCTTAAGCTGACTTGAAATGTAAAATAAATGCTCTATTCGTGTTTCTCCCCCTTCATAGTTCAGCCGGAGGAATGACAGCGTGGGATTTTGCCGAAGCTGGGTGATCGCAGGTCACCCCCTGGCCCCAAGGCCAGGCTGTCCGATGTCTGACTCCACTCCGCCAGCTTCGGGGCGTAGGCGACGTCTCGCCGGGCCCAGCCGCACCTTGCCAGCTCAGGGTCGCGAGTAGGGCTATCAGATTTAGCAAAGACACGACGTCCAGTTTAATTAGAATTTCTTAGAAGCAACCAAGAATTTTTTAAAAACTTGAGCACGTCCCACGCAGCATCCAATCATATTCGTTCTAGAAACGTATTTATTTATTTGAAATTCAAATTTAACTGGGAGTCCGTGTCTGGGCACCCCACCCACGGGCCGAGGAGCCGGACCTGGGTCATGGCCACTCGCCGGCCACAAGGATGTCGGGCCGCGAGCTGCCGGACGAAAGGACATCCGGCGCGAGCCGGAGCCCGAACCGCGCGGAGAGAGCGGGCGTCAGGCCTCACCTGGAACCCCGCCGCTCCCGGGATCCGAGGCCCAACTAGCCCACCTCCGTCCAGCAGTCAAGCCCAGCAGCCGCCAAGGCTAACTTCCCTTCCCGCGACGGCGCCGGCGCTCAGAGCGCTACGCATCTCGCGCGCCCACTTCCGCCGGCGCGCTGCCTCTTGGGTTCTGTAGTCCCTGGGTCCCACTGCCGCGGTCACCGGAAGTTGTTGCTGGCTTCCGGTTCCTGCTGTCTCGGGCGTCTCTCAGGCTTCGTGGAGTGACACTTGTTGCCGCACAAAGCGGCTGCAGTCCCGAGGGGGCGGCCGTCGTCGTCATGCCCCGGTATTATGAGGACAAGCCGGAGGGCGGTGCGTGCGCCGGCGTGAAAGAGGACCTGGGCGCTTGTCTGCTGCAGTCGGACTGTGTGCTCCAGGTAGCGCGCGGGCGGCTGGGACAGCTCGTTGGGGGCGTGATAACGGCCGAAACGGGGGGCCGGCCTCGGCGGGGCGGCCGGAGGCGCGACTGAGAGTGGGCCGTCGGGGTGTGAAACGGCGCGTTCGCTAGACTGGGCAAATCCGGGGCCCGGCAGTGTTCACTCTGTTCCCCGTCGGGTCGCTGAGTCGGAACGGACTCAGCGGCGCCCTAACCACACTCAGACCCTCAGCGTCCTCTGGTGTAAATTGGTTTTTTGGCAAGGATTATACAAGCATTTTCGGTTGAAGGAACTTTGATGCTGACATTCTGTTTGGAGACACACGCCCACCCCACCCCACCCAAAGAAGTACGGGGGGCAGGGGGATTGAGACAGTTTTCTTGGGTGCTAACTTAAAGTTAAGAGTTCGAAACTACCAGCCGCTCCGCAGGGGAAAAGCGAGCTTTCTACTCCCATGAAGAGTTAGTGTCAGAAACTCACAGGGGCGTTTCTGTCCCGTCCTACATAGAGTCGCCAGGAGTTGGAAATGAAAATCTGTGGAATGCCCTTAGAAAATTACATAAACCTGGTACCCTATTGGCCGGTTCTTGTTTTTTCCTTGTCTGCTGGTATAGTGTTTTTCATTTGATTCTGAATTTTAATTCTGTGTGGTCTCAGGTGTTGTAAATGAAGCAGCATCCTATTTTCAGCATTTTATATCTTCTGTGCCTTGCTTGACTTCTCTCCTTCCAAATCCTCTAGGGCAGTGGTTCTCAACCTTACTAATGTCGTGGCCCTTTAATACAGTTCCTCATGTTGTGACCCCCCCCAACCCTAAAATTATTTTCATTGCTGCTTCATGACTGTCAATTTGTTGGTTAAGATTTGGGCAATCCCTCTGAAAGGGTCGTTTGACCTCCAAAGGGGTCACGACCCGCAGGTTGAGAACCACTGCGTTAGGGCCTAATCTGAATGCCACAAACCAAATTGACTGTTACTGAGTTGATTCTGACCAATTGGGCAAAGTAGAACTACAGCCCCTGTGGGCTTCTGAGACTAAATCCTTTTGGGAATAGAAAGCCTCATCTTTATCTGGAGGAGCAGGTGATGGTTGTGAATGGTTGACCTTGAAGTTAGCAGTCTCTTTTGCCTTAACTACTTACAAGGTCTTCCAACAGCCTAATTTGAATGCCAGAAGCCAAACTCACTGCCACTGAGTGGATTCTAACTCAGGATGGAGTCAAACTGTTCGTGCAGGTTTCTGATACTGTGAATCTTCATGACAGTGGAACCCACTATGCCATCAGGATGCTTGATCTCAATGCCGCGGAGTTCAGAATTGAAGGGGACCTGGACTGAGAGATCTCATTAAGCCTTTTCCAGGTCTGAGGGCCCGGTTGTGTGCAATTGCTTTTGCCATTTGGGGATGTTGTGAGCAAGTTGGTTGTGTTTTCAGAGAAAGTCTCAGAAACATGGTCTTTCAACGAAACCCATGATAGACTTCCAACATAGCTTTTATCATTGTATCTGAGTCAAGATTTACCTTGAGCTTACTGATTGAGCAGATAGCCAGGCTCACGTCCCAAGGTCCAGTAAAGCAGAAAAGTTGGTACAAAGTCAAGAGGTTGTACAGTCCAACTTCCTTACAAATGAGGATATTGAGCTCCACTTCTCTGCACACTCCACTGCGCTGGCTGTTTGCAGCCTGCTGCTGCAGTCCTTGCTTGGTGTTTAGTTTCATGTGCTCTTGATTCAAGTCCAGCTCTTAGAGACCCTAAAGGACAGGGTAGAACTGGCCCATTGGGTTTCCGCAGGCTGTTAGTACTGGGTTCCTAACCCAAAAGTTACTGGTTTGAAGCCACCACCACTCTAAGGGAGAAAGATAGGACAATATGCATCCAAAAATATATCATGTCACCAATCCTAAGGAGTGGTTCTACTGTGATCTACAGGGTCTCTGAGTCAGAATCTACTCAGTGGAGCTGGGCTTGGTGTGGGGAATCTTTGTCCTGTGAAGAAAGGGTAGGTGCAGACCTCTGGTTAACAAGTGAGTGCTTACCCAGCAGGAGCCGCCAGAGAGCTTTAAGCTCAGCAGCTCCTAGTAAGTGCCCATTGGATGGCACATCAGCTCGGTTGCTGGAATAAGTGCCTAGATTAGGAGCCCAAATTCCTGTGATAGAAGCTCTTGTTAGCCTTTAGAAATAATTTGCTTAGTGAGTAGATTTAGGAATAAATGCCCCAGGAACAGAGGAGAGCAACTGATCTTGGTTGAAAGGGTGGAAGCCTCTCGGAGGAGGCGTGTTTGCCAGTGCACGTTTGAGAGACAGGCAAGGAGGAGTTGATGGAGTTACAGAGTGTATCTGTGTGCATGGTGGGAGTGGGGGTAATTCGAGAACAGCATGCGTGCAGGCAGGGAGCTGAGAGCCAGGAGGAGCTAGTGCCCATGGGCCTGGAGCAGGAGTGACAGACCTGAGAGGAAGGTTGCAGCCGGGTGTGAAAGCCTTGTTGTGTGGGAGTGAGGAAGGGGATTTTATCCTGACACTGAGCACCAGGAAGGCAATGGACACGAGTCACAGGCAACAAAAGCCACCCAGTGGAACTGAGGAGAGCAACGAAGTAGAGGCTACTGATGATAAGGAGAGTCCCACTGACGTTGTCACGATTGAGCTGTTCCCTGAGTGCCAGGCTCCAACTTGAACATACATACAGCTTAATGCAGTGGTTCTCCACCTTCCTGATGCCGCGACCCTTTCAGACAGTTCCTCCTGTGGTGATCCCCAATCATAACATTATTTTCGTTGCTACTTCATTACTGTCATTTTGCTACTGTTAGGAATCGGGCGACCCCTGTGAAAGGGTCCTTCGACCCCCAAAGGGGTCGCAGCCCACAGGTTGAGAACTGCTGGCTTAATGTCTCCTGTGTAGAATTTAAACCTTGGAAAAGTTGGCTGTAGGCTGAGATCGTGACCAAGACGCCATGCACAGACTTTGCCTCGGTGTTCGGACCACAACCCAGACTGCTGCCATCCAGTCAGTTCCGCTCAGAGCCACCCTGGAGGACAGTTGGTGACAGCCTGGGCTTCCAAGGCTGTCCTGATGGACACAGAATCCTGCCTCTTTCTCCCAGGGAGCAGCTGGTGGGTTCCAACTGTCATAGCCAAAGAGTTAGCCACTGCACCACCCGGGAACCTTTAATGCTTGTTCACGGTCCCTTAAACGGAAAGGCATTCCTAATGTGGGTTAGATTCACTCTGATGGCGACCTCACGGGAATGTAATAAGGCCATGCGTGCGTGGCCTGAGGGACCATCACCTTCCCTGGGCACTGTGAAGGTGACTAGAGATGGATCTGATTTCATGGCAGATGGTACCACAATTGATTCGGGCCCATTGTAACCCATGTGAGAACTGCAGCCCCTTGTGTGGGGAGGAATTTAACATAAATATTTAGTTCTAGGGAGGGACATGGGAGATCGTCAAGAAATTATAGGGGCTCTGTGTATTGGTATACCCACCAGTGGGGCTGAAAAAAGCTGCAGATTGGAGAGGTGTTTCTTGGGTAGACTATTTGGGAATGTTATGAATCGTGAAGAGGACAGGGTTGAAACTGTGGCTATGGAGCCTCATTACACATGGGTTATGGGTTACCTCCTTTGTAACATCTTCCAGACCTGCTGGTTCTTCACAATCTCTTGGAGGGGGGGTGTGCTTAAAAGCAAATGTGGCCCTGCCCCACCCACCAGCCACAAGGTTAAAAATTTCCCAGGGTGGTTCTTGGACACAGCCATGTTTCAGAATCACTTATCTTGATCTCTCAGAGCAGAAGGTTAGTGGGCCTGTTAGTTAGGATGTAAATTCAGCTACATGCTACAGGGGCCCTGTGAAACAAGGTATGTCCTGGGCAGCTCGACTGGGTGGACCTGGTGATCTTGTGGTTCTAGGTGCTGTGATGAAAGGTAGGAGGGCATGCCCCTACACGTGATCCAATATTGACTTGTTTCCTTATCATCTGCCCCAGCCACCAACAGGAAAAAAAATCCCTTGCTGCTGAGTTGACTAACTCAGAATTTGATGACGTGAAGTGGAGAAAGGGGGCAGGCCTCTTTAAGAGTTACGCTTGAAATTGCTATTGAAATGCCCCCACCTTCTGTTGGCTGGAACACAGTGACAACACACCTAGCCAGGCATGTTGTGCTTGTGTGTCACAGCACTGCTTCTGGCTCAGTAGACACGGACCTGCCCCATAGCTTCCCTAGGCTGCGGTCTTCTTGGGAGCAGATCATTCATTCTTTCTCCATCCGGCAGAGCAACTGATGGGGTCACACTACCAACTTCTTGGTTAGCAATGGAGCATGTCATCCAACTAAAAAGGAAACGGGAATGTGTTAGGCCAGCTTGGCTAGAGAAGCAAACGCAGCGACACTCCTCTGTGTCAGAGCGCTTCTGTCGAGGAGTCATGATAAAGCAGGAAACATCCCAGCCCAGACAAAGTCCTTAAGTCCAGTGCTAGTCCATAAATCCATAATCCCTCTTCAGACTCACGCAGCCACATGCGATGGTGCAGATCACAGGCCGATGGGTACAGAGTTGAAACCTAACTATCACAGTGAATAATACTAAGACAACGCGCGTCTGTTCAAGTTTCGTAAATCTCCATGAAGAAGTCTACTAGGTAGTTCACAATAAAGGTTGAAAACTTAGGGAAAAGGTAGCATCTTACAGAGATACCAGCTTTGAGATTCTCGTTCTCAGTCTTACTGCCTCCACCGTGCTCTTGTGTACAACATACGCCCTGAGCAGTAGCTCACTACAGAGTTGAGTGTGAATGTAAGGATGCACGGAAACATGCTACTGTTTGTTCGAACCCTGACCTCATTTGGGAATGGGTTGAGAGGCCCTATCAGTGTGGCGTGTTTGTCTGTTAACTGTATTGTGAATTAGGTAAAGGTGTACAGAGCAGATCATCAGGGTCCCAGTCAACAGTTCACACACATTGTTTCAATTCATTCAATCCCCTTAAAGTGCCGTCACTTACCCCACTTCCTCATGTTTCCTGTTTCCATTCCTACTCCTTCCCTAGCCGCCTCTACTTTGTTCTTGGGTAAGTGCTGCCCTGTTGGCTTTTAAATAGTCACTTATTCTAACAGGTGAGTGAGTGCCTGTCCAGACCTGAAGCCATGCTCTAAAGGTTCCATAGTCTCTAACTACTTGTTGATGACTTTGAGTTTTGTTCTGCATTTTTTCCCACTCCACCCAGGACCCTCTAATGTACTCCTTTTCAGAGCAGTTGGTCGTGGTAGCTGGGCACTACCTAGTTCTTCTGGTCTCGGCATTGTGGAGACTGATGTATATGTGGTCCGTTAGTCCACTGGACTGATTGTTTTCATCCCTCTTCTTTCTTCCAGTCAGGGAGAGACCAATGGTCGCACCTTAGGTGGCTGTTCATGAGCTTTTAAGGCTCCATTCGGCCACTCAGCCAGGTAGAATGGAGATCATTGTCTGTGCACGATGCCAGTAGGTCTTGGTGTTCCTGTTAGATCTCTCTAGCTAGATATATACCTCGGTCCTGGGTTCCGCGTGAGAAAGAATTCACGCTGAGGCCTGGTTTGTGATCCAAGTGAGTTTTATGAGAGGTAGAAGAAGTTTCAGGTTTACACGTCATCCGAGGGGCTCCTCCTGAACATGCGGCCTGGCTGGAAGCTGCTCGGAGTCATGCAAAAGCTTGCCAAAGCTCTCTGCGCCAAAGTTCTCTCTCCCGACTTTGGGCTGGCTTCTGCCTTTTCAAGGATTCCACAGGGAGGCGTGGTGGACGACCCCTGATCGACCCCATTGGCTGAATTGAATTCACCTGGCCTAGGTGGGCCAATTCAGGTTCTCGCCCACCTATGCCTACAGGCAGGAAACCTGAGCCTCTGGGCATGTGCAGTGCGGCCACTCCTTTGTTCCCGTAGTTTGGCCCTCTGGGCATGCATTAATGGACATTCCCCTGCCCTAAGCTAGTCTACCTAACATTCCCTGCCAACTGTTTCACTTTTGGGAGTCAGTACTGTAGGTGGCAGTTAGGACCCAGGCACACACACAAAGGCTAGGAAGTGCCCAAGAACAGATTTCTGGGAAATAAAAAAGACCTGGTACTATGTAGCTTTCCCCACAGCTAAAACAAGTCTGACTGGCACTTCTAAAATGAAAGTTTGGGAGTAAATTCACTGATGGGGGACAGAGCCAGCATCTGCTTAAGGAGAAGTCCCTCAGTAAGCAGAGCAGGTGAAATATATTGTTTTTACAGCTTCTTGAGTGAGCTAAGTAGTTCTGTTTAAGTATTACTGTCCCTATCACATTAGCAACCGTATTAAGCATTTAGTAAACCAAAACAAACGTACTG